ATGAGAGTCTTTCAATTGAACAGTTTGATACAGTCACCAGAGATTGTGACTGTTAGATATCACTGATGTGATTTAAGAATTGAGATGGATTTCTCTTATCTAAATGGGTTTCTAGGTAGAAGTTGCACTGGGTAGAGATTAAGTGAGGAGTTGTAAACTGGAGGTTGTTTAGCTCTGAATTAATACTGGTAGTAGTGAATTCATTCCTGGCTTAGTAGCCCCAAGATGTAGATGTTGTTGTACACCAAACTGGGTCATCATATCTTGGTGTTATTTATCATTTTGTTGTATATTTCATTTATTCTTATACTCTCAAATATATGTTCAAACAGATGTTGAAACACCTGTCATGGCACTGTTATGACTTTGAGATATCAGGAATATTCTTGTTCTGTCCTTGTTTATTTAAGCAGAGATCAATGTCTCGACATCTCTTGGGACATCTAAGATTTGTATACCAGAATTTCATGAATGATTTCAGTTTGTGGCGCTTGAAGATGAAAGCTCTACTGGTTCAGCAGAGTTTGTTAGAAGTGTTGAAAGGATTGGAGAAGATGAATGTTTCCCTAACGGAGAAGGAGATAACGACGATGATCGAGAAAGCTCGTAGTGGAATCATATTGAGCCTCGGTGATAAGGTTCTCTAACAGGTCTCGAAGGAGAAGACGACAGTCAGTGTGTAGACGAAACTCGAAGGTTTGTACATGACAAAAATGTTGGTCAATCGCCTCTACCTGAAGCAAGTTATGTATTTGTTCAAGATTAATGAAGACAAAGTCTTAGCTGAGCAACTGGATATGTTCAACAAGTTGATTTTTGATCTTGAAAATATCGAGGTAAAGATTGATGATGAAGATCAAGCATTGTTGTTGTTGTGTGTTTTACCTAAGTCTCATGGTCACTTCAAAGAATCTCTCTTGTATGGAAGAGATTCATTGACCTTTGAAGAAGTTCAACCAGACTTATACTCTAAGGATTTGAATGAAAGAAAGGATCGTAAAACATCTTCTACTGGAGAAGGTTTGTCCGTTTAGGGGAAATTCTTGAAGAAAGATGGTCAGTTTAAGAAGAAGGGTAAAGTTCTACAGAATTCTTATGGTAGTAATACTCCTGCAATCATGTGTTATCATTGTAAGAAGAGGGGTCATATAAGAAAATGTGCCCTGGTCGACCGGATAATCATTGAGGAAAGGATAATGATAATGCAGCCATTGTGCAAGATGGTTATGAATCTTCTGATGTCTTGGTGATTTCAAGCAATAACTTTAGCAAGGAATGGATTATAGATTTAGGGTGTACTTGACACATGACTTTAAACAAAGATGTGTTTGAGGAATTTATGTGATCAAGATGGTGGATCAGTGTTGTTGGGAAATAATAGAGCCTGTAAGATTGCAGGTATTGGATCTATGAGATTCAAGCTCCATGATGAGTCAATAGGGCAATTGACTGATGTCAGGTATGTACCTGATCTTAAGAGGAATTTGATTTCACTTGGTGAATTCGGCAATAAAGGATATATTTTCAAAGGAGAGCAAAGTATCCTAAGGGTAATGAAGGGGCCGGAAGAAGTCTTGAGAGGCGTGAAGAAATAAGGCTTGTATACCCTTGAGGTTGAGGTTGTAAGTGGTTCATCATATGTGGCATCCATAAAACCTGTGTCAAAAACTGAGTTGTGGTACAAGCGACTTGGCCATGTCAGTGAAAGAGGCCTGGTTGAATTGTCGAAATAAAATATGCTATGTGGTGACAAGGTCGAAAAACTGGTGTTTTGTGAACTCTGTGCATTTGGTAAATCCTGTATGGTGAAGTTCAACAAATTTAAACAAAGAACACATGGTATCCCTTGATTACATTCATGCTTGTCTTTGGGGCTTGCAAGTAATCCTTCACACTTAGGTGCAAAGTATTTCCTATCCGTAATAGATGATTTTTCCATAAAGTTATGGATATTCATCCAGAAGATTAAGGATGAAACTTTTGAAAATTTCAAAAGTTGGAAGACACTAGTAGAAAACCAAATTGACAAGAAGGTCAAGAGGTTAAGGACCGATAATGGTCTTGAATTTTGCAATGAGGCACTCGACAGCTATTGTGTTGTGTCTGGTATTGTAAGGCATAGAACTACTGCAGGTACTCATTAACAAAATGGTTTACCTTAAAGGTTTAATCGAACGATTCTGGAAAAGGTAAGGTGAACGTTAGTAGGTGCAGGATTAAAGAAGGTGTTTTGGGCAAAAGTTGTTGTGACTGCAGTATACCTGATAAAAAGGTGTCCTTCAACTGCCTTGTGAATGAAAACACCTGAAGAAGTCGGGTCGGAACATCCACCTAATCTCAACAAAATTAGAGTATTTGGTTGATTAGTCTATGCTCACATTAGGCAAGACAAGGTCGAACCTAGAGCTCTAAGATGTATGTTCCTTGGATACCCTGAAGAAGTCAAAGCTTATAGACTATGGTACCTATAACCAGCTCATAAGAGGTGTATCACAAGTCGAGATGTAGTTTTCAATGAAGCGGATATGGCCTTCAAGAAAACTGGTGACGTTGGTCGAAGTACCAAGGCGTCTAGAAATGAGCTGGAACAGGAAGAGATTCATGTTGAGGTGGAGCATAGTTATGCTGAATTACATAACCCAGATAAAGCCGAAGAGCATGCATAAGTTACTGATGAAGATGAGGAGACTGATAATGATTACCTGCTGACAAGAGATAGGTCAAGAAGAGTCATCAAGCCACCTGAGAGACTTGGTTATGCAAATCTCATAGCTTATGCCTTAATCTTTGCAAGTGGAGCTTTGAATGAAGAACCTAGAGATTATAAGGAAGTTATGAGGAGTCGATGCAAGACTGAATGGTTGTAAGTGGATTTTCAAGGTTAAGTAAGGAATCGAAGGAGTGATGTCGAAGTGATTTAAGGAAAGGTTGGTTACTAGGGGGTTCAGTAAAATAAATAAGGTGTCAACTTCAGTGATGTGTTCTCACCTGTTCTAAAGCATAGATCCATTAGAATGTTGTTAGCCATGGTGGTGATGTTCAACCTAGAACTTGAACAGATGGCTGTGAAGACAACCTTCATGTATGGTGATCTAGATGAAAAAATCCTGATGGGGCAACCTGAAGGGTATGCAAAAAAGGGAAAGGAATATTATGCGTGCAAGCTAAATAGGTGTTTATATGGCCTAAAATAATCTCCTCGACAATAGAATAGGAGATTTGACAAGTTCATGGCATACATAGGTTTCACTAGGAGTCAGTTCGACCACTGTGTTTACTTTAGATTCCGATCTAGAAATAACTTGTTATTTTGTCGCTTTATGTGGATGACATCCTCAGAGCAAACAAGAGTGTCGAAGATGTTATGAAGATGAAGGTTGGACTCGATAAGGAGTTTGACGTGAAGGATTTGGAAGTTGCCTCCATAGTTCTTGGGATTGACATTCAGAGAGATAGAAAGCGGTCGAGATTATGATTATCTCAAGAGAAATACCTAAAGAAGATTCTCGACAAGTTTGGTATGTCGAATTCAAATCCTATTCTAACTCTGACTAATCCTCAGTACAAGTTATGTACGACTCAAAATCCTAGTATTGAAGTCGAAATAGCATATATGAATAGCATCTCATATGCTAGTATAGTAGGTTCTTTGATGTATGATATGGTCTGTACGAGGCCAAACATAGCGTACAGAGTGAATCTCGTAAGAAGGTATATGGTCAATCCTAGAAAGGCGCACTGAAAAGCATTGAAGTGGATTCTAAGGTTTATAAATGGGTCTCTGAGCAGAGTCTTGATTTATGGTGGAGCCTGTGGTGATGATAGTAAAGTTGAAATCAAAGGATTTGTTTATTGTGTTCATGCAGGTTGTATGGATTCCAGAAAATCTATTTTTGGATATATGTTCACTATGTTTTGCATGACAATTAGTTGGAAAGCAACTCTTCAAAATATTGTTGTCTTATCAACCACTGAAGTGGAGTACATTTCTCTCACTGAAGCTGTGAAAGAAGTATTGTGCCTTAAAGGTTTTACTAAGGAGCTGAAACTTCAAGGTCTAGTTATCACTGTTAAATGTAATAGTCAAAGTGCAATACACCTATCAAAGAATTCAACATATCATGAGCGAACCAAGCACATCAATGTGAGGTTACACTTCATCAGAAAGATAATCGAGCATGGAGAAGTCAAAGTGTTAAAGATTTTGATTGATGACAATGTTGCTGATATTATCACCAAGACATTGTCAAGTAGCAAGTTCTTACACTGTATGCAGTTGATAAAGCTCCATGATAAAAGCTAGTTTGTTCCCTTATTAGTGTATAATTTGTTCCAAAGAGATATGTGGTATTTGGATCGAATTTTAATATCGACAAGGATAGTTTCATGGTTCGGCAAAAGTTTAGCATGAAGTCGAAATTTTTTCACATGTTGTTCTTATATGATGTAGTCGAAGTATGCTCAAGAATGCAGTAGTTGAAATGTTATGATTGTTAGCATATCAAATTGAGTCTTGCTTGTAAGGCAAATTGTTAAATTAACATGTAACCTAAGTTAACTTAGTAGTCTATAAATAGAGTAATTCTCTCAAATTGATGAGAGAGGTTAATTATTTTTGTTCACTTGTAATCTTTAAACCCTTATTGAGTAAATGAATAGTAAAATAGTTTTAACCAACTTTTTCCTTCTTCTTTCTCCTATCTCTTTCGTAAAACTTAATAGGATTTCTTGTGTTTGTTAAAGAAACTCATTCTTTCTCATATTTTAGTTTTTTCTTAACGACATTGATTCACAACACAATTGAATTTCTATCAATTTTCAACACCTTCATAACAATCTGTTTTTGTTTTTACTTGAAAAAATCAGGCAAGAGTGCTTACACTTCACAATCTCTCAAACAACACTCTTCCCAGAACAATACAAAACAAAACCAAGAAAGAACACAGGAGAAATAAAACAATAAAAAAAGAACATAAATCCTTCAAATGGATTGGTCTTCATCAACCGAAGATAACTATAGCTGCAACTAAACCAACAAAAAGGGACACAAACATTGTTCCTTGAAGGCTAATCAAATTGATAGCACCAGAAGTAGCCTTAGTTGTCTCACCCTGATCATCATCTGAAGATGAATCCTTAGCACCTTTAGGTGCTTTAGCTATTGTAGGAGCAGGAGCTAGAGCTTTAGGCTTAGAGAAATCCAAAGGAATAAGCACCTTATCAACATGGTATATAGCAAGTGTCTTATCAGAATATACAATCCCTGTGAGTGTAGCATTAACAGACCCAGTTGAAATGTTCACATTGTTTCCATAAGCTGTCACATTCATTTGATAACCAGAAGGACTATCACTTGCAAGTGTCAGCACAGGGTTACTTAGTGAATCAAAGTTTGAGCTTGAGACATAAACAGGAAGAACATGAAACTGTATCAGTTCTTTCTGTTGTCGTTCGCCGAGGGAATTGAAGTATCCGGCTTTAAGCTGTGAAAAAGCACCATCATCGGGTGCAAGAATGGTTAAACCGCCAGATTTTGTTGTCACTAATTGCGCGTTGATTTGGTTAATGATTTGTGTGGTTTTCAGCAACCGGATTAGAGTGTTGAATGATTTCGCTTTCCTTAGGATTTTGATGATGTCTTGACCTGAAGAATCGGAGGAGGGTGATTGAGGTAATGAAGGGACTAATGGTTTTGCTGGTGCTGCTGCCGGAGCTGGTGTGACAGGCGCAGGTTTTGCAGGAGGTTTAGGTGCTGCTGCAGGTGATTGAGCTGAAGCCGCGATGAAAAAGATATGAGCAGATAGTACCAAGAGGGAAAAGAAGATGATATGCTTCATCTTCTTACTCAATAGTATTTCTGTTTATGGAAATATGCAAATGATAGGTTAGATTTTGTTGCTGTGAGTGCTTCTTTGATTTGTGGAAATGTAATGGAGTGAATTGCATTTATAGATGGTAACACTGAGTGATAATTAGGTGCAAAGTTTGCAATAATAGTACTATGAGGGTATATCTTATCTGTCTTGTGAGATATTAAGGTGGTACATCAAGGAAAATAAAGGTGACTGAAAATAAGAATTGATTTTGCTGCTATAGTGTGGCCACAAATCATGCTTGAACATGAAGAAATCAGAAGTTGGTTGTGATCTGATACAGAAGCACTTTAATACAGATAATAAACCACCCTTTTTTCATTAAGGTTAGTTTATAGATGTGAAATCAAATCATGAAAAACACATTTAAGACTCATCTAATTGTTTATATTATTATGGTGAATATTGTAGAAAGAATACTTTTTAGAATGGCCTATTGGCGTAGCGATACGATCTAAACCGTCGAATCAACTTGCTAACCTGCTAGATCATGATATAATGGTCTAGATTGGTGACTTGATAAACAATTAATGAAAATAATCTAAATCAATAGTTAGACATTTTCATCAAATAATTTGCCAGTAAGGAAAAATATGCAATATCTTATACTAAAATGGAATTAATTACTACAACTACATTCTTACATTTACTTCATCTGATATATAAATGTAACTACCTGTTTTTATTTAGTTAAATGAGAGAAGAAAAAAAGCTCAACCCTGTAGGGCAATACCAATGAACTACTGAATGAACCTAACACTTGAAAGATTCCCAAAACTACCTGGGAGATTTTGTGGAGAGACATTGCCCACATGAGATAAGATTCAGCAACGCACGTGTTTTTCGGGTTCGTATTTTCAAGCGCGACAGCTGCAAATTCAATTAAATACATCAACACAGCTCTCATAGTATATAATAATAATGCAAAATAAACCGCAACTCGTGTTTAACATCAACAAATTAAAAGCCTGAACCTTAGAAATAGATCATCAATGTATCTCCAAAATAAATTAGATTAATAAGATTTAGAGTCATAAGAAAACAAATCACCTTCCGGCGAGTTGCTCTAGATGCTTTCCAGCCTAGCAAGCTCCTTGATCTTGGCTCCAGTCTCCTACAGGGTGAATAATTTTAAAAATCAATAGATATACATTACTGTATTCGTGAAATGGGATTACGTTGAAATGGAGGATGGAACGACAACATACAGATTCTCTTGTTCGAGCTTTTCAGCAATAGAAACTGCTTTACGTTTTGACCACCCACTTCGTTGACTTTCTGCTTGCTGGATTACATGAGCAAGAGATACCTTACTTCTTACAAGACTTCGACTTTGACTATGTGACATAACAATCGGTGTTTTTTGAGACGTTGACACTTGTCTAATATTCTTGTGCTCCATATGAGAGGCTTCTTCTTCTTCTTCAACAATTTCACCCCTTCTCTTTTCAGTGCCAATTTCAATTAAGTCTCGTATTTGAGATGAACCGTCATTGGTAGCGGGTAATACAAGAGGCAAGTCTGCATCTTTATTTGATTCACATCTAATTTCTATGGTTACAGAAGATCCAAGGACAGCTTCAAATGCTTGTAAAATGTGACCAGTGAACTTCTCAGCCGTAGATTTTGAAAGTTGAGAGTTAAACATTAGTTGCACAGTTGGAGCTGAACAATAAAGGATCACACTACCATTAGAATTTTACTAAATTGCTACAAAAAAATTTATTAGTCGCGTTGTTTAAATAAAAATAGTGAAGATATGATCATGTTCACCTGCCCCAAAACTAATGAAGATCAGCTTTCCTGCTTTATACAAAAACTCTTTGAGACCAGGATAGTTAATCCTCTCTAGCACCTCTAACCATATCTCTTCGATTTCTTTGCGGTTTTTATCCAAATTCTGCCTTTCATTTATCCTAGTCTTGTCAGTGGAATGTGAACAAGTATGTTGAGTAGCAAAACCAGAAACGCTGTGTCTTCTATCTGTTGAATTTCCAGCATTAGAATTTTCCATTCTAGCATCTATTGATAATCGTCTTGTTCTGTTAGGAACTTCAACAGGTTTACCGGTGTTTCTAGTAGCTTCTTTCACATTTCCATTATTTAGAGCAAAGGGACTATGGTGAAAACTATTATCAGATGAAGTCGGCAGCCCATACTGCTGGTCAGGAGCAAGTTGAAGCAACGCAGCTGTCAACCAGGTTAGCTTGTCATTAGACATTCTTAATTGCTTCTCCGCCTCAGATAAAGTTTTCAGAGCTTGACGAAGCTTTTCCATGTCTTCTTTGGACACTGAGAAAGAAATCATCATCATCAATTCGTGAAAGGAAATAATTAAAAACGTATTCATCAATAATGAAATCAAGGATCTCCAGTCTCTACACTGACAGAAATATAAAGCCATAAGGTTAGAAATCTTTGTAGTGTCGACACCTCTGAAAAATTAGTAAGCTATCTATAAGAGAGTTTTGACTCACATGGTTGTCTTCGGAAGAACTTCCTTCTTCGCCTTTCTTTAGCAAAATCATAGGTCCCAGCAAGTATATCTGTAATGACTGTAGCAAGCTGTGACATCAAAGCTAATGGTTCAACTCCTGCTTCCATTATCACTCTCAAATTTTTTACAGTGTTTACCGTGTCCGCGGATAATGCCAAATCAAGCAGATCCACCAATTTTTCATCAGAGATAAGCCCTACCTGAAGAATCGATTTTTAGCAATATTAACAGCAATTTACAACAGAATCTAGTGAAAGAAGTATCGACAAAAGAAACAGATCAAAAATAACAACTTACCAATTCTTGAACAAGAGGAACGGATATTCTCTGCCCAAGCAAACTAAGTTGTTCAAGTGTCATCTCAGCGTCTCTCAATGATCCGTCAGACCTTGATGCGATGAGTTTCAGGGCATCCTTATCAATATCGAGACCTTCTTTGGTTGCAATCCACTGCAGTGTATTTACAATATCCGAATCCTTCAACTTTGGGAAAAAGAATTTTTGACACCTGGATATTATTATATGAGGCAAGACATCAAGACTAGTACTGACAAGGATAAAAACCACACGTCTAGGTGCTCGATCAATGACCTTGGATATAGCATTCCAACAATCAGCCGATAGAGTATCACAATCATCGAAAATAAACACTTTGTACTGCGATGGAAGCTGGGAAACAGTCATATTGTCGAGTAGATCCATGATGTTCTCAAAGTCAAAATTACTGACTGGACCAACTTCCCTTATATTTCTACTCTTTCCCATATCATGTGCTACGCAACAATTGCAAAAGCCACAAGGTTTTGGGTGTTCTAAAGAACTGCAATTCAAAGCTCTTGCAAATATGCGAGCACATGACGTTTTCCCGGTTCCATGGGGGCCATAAAACACATACAGCAATCCAACTTTCCGTCTCATCACTGCATTTGATAGAGCTTGTGCGACTAAATTCTGTCCAACCATATCTCTAAAGCTCCGTGGAATATACTTTTGTGTTAAACTTTGGTGTCTACTATGATGATTCCGTCTCAACTTATTATGTTGGCTACCAGATCTAGCTTCAGAAGCAAGATCTGAATCGATATCTTGCTTCAATAAATTGTCACCATAAATACATAGTTCGCCTGAATAACCACGGCCCCAGCAAGCATTTTCAGTGCTTCCATGAGATCCAGATGCGTCAACTAGTAAAGGCAGTGCCTCTGCTTCAGAGTTAGTACATGAGGTAGAGCCGTCAGCAGCCACAGGCATCACAGAAATGTTTCTTCCGTTTGAAGCTAAAGACGTCCCTTTCTTTAACCTTGAGTCAGATAAACCACAGGACAAACTTCTTCCAGCAATGTCGAGGAAAGATTTACCTCTATGATGAATTCTGGACCAATTCCAAGGCATGCCACAGCCATTTTTTGGTGCTCTAGTAACATTATCATTTGCATAATCATTGACCTCCTCCGAGTGATATTTCTGGTGAGCTGAACCCTCAGCTAATGAGTTTGAAGCCACAGACAATTCATTCTCGGCTCCAATATCTCTTGACGTTGTAGCAACCCGAGCTCTTCTCGCACTTCGAAATTTACGCCTTTTTGTCCTATTCATTCCATTTCCATGATTGCGCATGCTGGCTTGTTGTGCCTCAACAATCTTCTCTTGTCTTGGAAACCTTGCCCGGAAATGAATGTTTGATGATGCCAAATCATCACTATCCAAAGGAACATCATTCAGCTGTTCAGAAAGAGTCTTAACTTGAACTTCTCGAACATTCTTTCCCCGCTGTCTACTCTTTCTCTCCAAAGATTGAGAATGCCTCGAAACAATATCTTCGGCCAAACTTTTGCCAGCCTCATGAAGAAGCTGCTCTTGACTGATAACTTCCAAATTATCAGGCCTATTACTCTTCCTGCCAGATTCTTCTCTCCCAACTCTCCTCCCATCCCCTATCCCACTCCTGCTACTTCGCTCACTAGTTGCTGCCGGAACTGCATCATTACCCCTACTAGCCTCACCTGGAGCAACCCTTGATGTACCTCTACTCACCAACGGTGGCGAGTTTCCAATTCCAGACAATCTCCTACCTTCCTTCCGACTATCAGCACCTACCGACCTTCTCCCCCCTTGATTCACAGCATCATTTTCTGCCCTTTTGAAAAGCAAGTCAACCACAGAAGGAGAATGCCATGACGGAGGACTCGCAGAAGGATCCCGAAGAGAACGCGACCTTTGAAGCACAACAAGGTCTCTCATAATAGACCTATCAGTAAGTATTGGACTGTTTTTATGCATATGGTTCTTCAAGTGAATACAATTTGTTAAATGAATATGGTTGCGTAAATGATCACTAATATCACCATTGGCATCTTTGAGCACCCTATTCCGAATAGCCCTAGTCATTATCAGAACACTGACACCATAATTTCCTCTAAATTAATGAAACAAATAAAAAAAAATCTCATTTTTTACTTGTAACTAAACCAACACGGTACTTCACAATTATGGTAATAACAACAAATAATAATAAAATAAAATGCTCAATTCAGAACACCTATTAATTACTCCAAAACGTAAACAGCGACTCTCATGGTCAGTTATCCCATTGAGCCAAACAAACTCAAAAAGAAACAAACTTTATAAACCAAACTAGAGTGCAGCTTCAGCTTCAACTTCAGCTACTGCTCTCAAACAAAACATAATTTTGAAGTTACACGAGTAAAGAAAAGAGAAAAATCAAAGACCCCATTAATTGAAGCAACTAAACAGTTTGACAAAATGGGAAACAGGGTTAATGAAGAGAATCATGAAGTAAGTAAGAACCGCATTTGTAAATGGAGAATCATGAAGTAAGTAACAACAGTTAAAAGTAGTTGAAGGCAAAAACAGTTGAATCAGGTGAATCAGAACAAAAAAGAAAAGGTGGTACCGTTAGATCTCATAGACTCAACAAGGTTCACATGCAGTCACGAGGAGAGAAAACGATAGTTGAAGTTCAAAAAACCATGGGTGGTTAGAGAGAGAAAGAAGAGAGAGAAAGGGGTGGTGAGGGTGAAGGGGGGTTATGGGGTTGTAAGATCCGTTGTTGTTTGAGACATAATTTTGGGTACAGAGGACACACTGCCAATAAAGCGGTGTGTCCATATGCTAAGCATGCAAATAGTAAAATTATTTTTTTTATTAATATTTTATTTCCTTTTTCTATAAAAAATAAAATCGGTAGTTGAATATTTTGACCATTTTTTACTAAATATTCACGTGGATATAGGTATAATGATGAGTGATTCCGTTTTGAAAAGGGAAATAAAAATTAATTCATTTTATCTACTTTTTCGGAAAATATTAGGAAATTTAAAATAAATCAAATTGGTGAAAAACATGTTTATTTGAATAGATTTAATTGGATTTTTTTAATTAAAATAAAAATGGTAAGGAAAAAAAAGTTAACTTTTTTTCAAAGACAGGTGTGAACTAAAATAAGAAAAATTATAGAATTTTAATGTTTATAAAAATAATATTGATACTAGTAATTTTAAAACATCATATCATATTTTATAGGATGAATGCCTATTCGAAACTATAATTTCTCTTTTTTTAATGTAAATTTTGTTGTTTGACTCCAAAGAAAAATTATAAATACAAAAATATATATTTTATTTTATTATACAAAATGTTATAAAATATTTATAACATTCTAACTTATACTAAAAGATATTCTAAATTAATAAATAAAATATTCTAAGATTTAATAATATTCTTAGATACATATTTAGGGACGAGATATTTTTTATAATTCTTTTATAATTATATATATCTTATAATAATTTGTTGTCCCTAACACAATTAAAATATATATATATATATATATATATATATATATATATATATATATATATATATATATATATATATATATATATATATATATATATATATATATATATATATATATATATATATATATATATATATATATATATATATATATATATATATATATATATATATATATATATATATATATATATATATATATATATATATATATATATATATATATATATATATATATATATTGATGAAAACGGTTGGTTTAAGAATTCAATTTTTAATGATAATATTTATTTATATTTATATTTTAATATAAATAAGTTGTTAGTATTTATAAATTAATAAATTTTTAAAATAATATTAATTAAATAATATATTAAATAATTATATTTGTTTTGAAACACATTAATAATATTAATAGGTTTTTCATATTATTAATTTAATATAAAGATGAAAAAAACCTTTCAAAAATAAATAAGATACAAAAAAAATTGTGAACAATTGGTTAGTTAGCAATTGGGTGTTTGGGGATTTCGAATTGGGAGGGGGACCAATGAAACCCGTCCCGTTGAAATTCTATGTTGTTCTTTGTTTTGTAGTTGTACATTATTTTCTTCGTGCTTTTTTATTTTTTATATCATAATAGACTATTTCGAACACATTCTAAATATTACCAGTTTAAGAAAAGGTTTTCGATTTTTTATTTTTTATTTATTTATGTTAATTTTATTTGTTAACAAAATGTTATTAAACTCTAATGATGTAAATAATTATAATTCTATGTATTGCTTGAAAATAGTGAAAATGTTAAATAATTTTAAATATCTTACTATTTAAAAACTAAAATACATATATATTTTTAAAATAAAATTAAAAAAATATTTTTGCATAGTAATAAGATTTTCTTAGAAGAAATTTTTTTTTAGAAGAAAGTGCCAAAATTTTGATCAATTGATGAAACCATGATGTTGCCTATGAATGCTATGAATGAAATAATTAGGAATGGAGAAAAGATACATTAGGTCACGGTCTTTTAACTTAATGCCCGTCAACTTTATACAATATTTCATTATAGGCATCATCAAATTATCAAATTAAAGTTGTTTACGCCTTAAAAAAGATAAATAAGTTGACTCAAAAAGAACAAGTAAGTAAAGTAGGGGCTGTACAAGCTAATCGATAATGCAAAAGACTATTTGTGGAGATGGTTGTCCTCATATTTATTCAATTTGAAATTAAATTTATTTCAATGGCATGTAGATCAAGGGTCTTAATAGACCGTACAAATTAATAAGATCAGTTCAGTATGTTAGCCATGGGATTTTTTAGTCATGGGTTTTGTTTGCGGGTGTAATCTATTGGGTGATCGAATTGCTTTTGCTAAGTCAGTTCAGCTGCAGTGCTCTCAACCCTAGCGGTAGCTGTTGTGCAGGCATTTGCCTTTGTACTGTCATAGGGTTGTTATGGTGTCTTAGGTGTTGGTCCAGTTGCTCTCGCTCTAGTTCTTTTCTGAAGCTTGTTAGTTTCGTCTTTTGATGTGTTTCTCGTAAGCTATTGTGGTTTTGCAGTGAAGTGTGGTCTTTAGCGTTAGCGGTTTTGTAATTCGGCGAGAGGCCTCCCTTTAGATGTCCTGTTGTAGTTCTGTAGCAGTATCGGCCTTTCTTCTTGTGTGTTGATTCTGCCTGTGTTAAGTTGTTATACTAGTAGATGGTGTTTCCTCTTAATGTTTCCTTTTGAGTAGAGTTGTTGCAGCAGTTTGTTTGACTCTAGCGATTTCGACTGTTTGGTTGCTGCAGTCGTGTTCAGAGGTGATTTAGAGTTAGTGTCTCGTCCGATTTTGTTTTTAGTTGTAGTTTTCTCGCTTATTCGGGTCTATCAACCTCCATTTTTCTTTAAGGAGTAATAAGATGCTTATCTTGGCAACAATATCTAAAACAATGTTATCGGACAACAAAAGACAAATCTTTACAAAGTTTTTAATTTATTCCAGTCTTGACAGGCTTCTTAGTAAATCAAAACAACACCTCCTCAATCTAATCAAGTTACTTCTTGTGACAAATCGAGTAAGCCATCAACAAGCAAATTTAAATGTAATTTGAATTCTTCTTTTTTATCTACGAACAACCGATTAGAAATTGGTGTTTGTGTCAAAGATGTGTATTGTTAAGAATATTTGTATATATATAGCCCCACATCGACTATAGCATGTAATTAGATGTAATCTCTCAATATATAATACAATCTTCGTAGTACTTTTTAAAACACACAGTTTATTCAAATGTTTCTCACTATCTTATCCATTGGAGTATCAACAAGATGACAATCAAGAATACCAGTTTCACTGAGAATATTTAAGTACACTTTACTTGGTTGACTAACTGTTTTTCGATGAGAAATTTTGTGGGTGACTCATTCTAGTCACCCTCATAGTGTCGTAGCCGCCATTGCTGCCACTGATTATGGAGACTTTTCGGCACACCACACTCCCAGATAGAAGTGTTTGCCCGATCACACGTGCGGACAATGTTCCTGTGCACGGGCCTTACGCGCCTCTGTCCTTGTTGCGTGTGACACTGTCCCTGCCTCTGTTTTCACCTTCTGGCTCAGTTTTTCATCCTATTTCTAGATCTACATTCAGTTTTTATTTCTAATCTACAGAAATACAATTCACTATTAAACAACCCATGTTTCGCCATTCGTCACTTTTCTCCTCACCACTGAGAAACCTTGTTTGCACGCTTTTCAGCCACCTATTCTCATGGAAAATCACTACACTACCAATTCTGTCACTTTTAACAAAGAAGTTATTATTTCAGCCGCTGATTACAATGAATTCGTCCAGATTAAAGCAACCCATCAACCATCACCTTCTACCATTGTTGCTCAGTATGGTAATCATGTAGCATTTGTCTTTACATTTGCCTCCATTGTTCCTTGGGTCCTTGACTATGGTTCCTCTGATCATATAACTGGTAATAAATTTATTTTATCTAACTTGACTTATTTTGATTCTTTACCTTCTTTCACTATGGCAGATGGATCTAAAATCAAAATTCAATTCCTTGGTCAGGTACACCCACTGCAAAACTTGTATTTAAATTATGTGCTTTATATTCATGGTTGTCCTTTTAATCTAATATTTGTAAAAAAAAGCTCACTCGCACTCTTAATTATTTAGTTATATTTATTGATAATTCAATTTATGTTCAGGATGAACGTATAAGACGAACAATTATAATAAGGAATGAGTCTGGAAGATTATATCATTTATCACCACCGATGGCATTGATGAAAGTTTTTTTTATGAGTATTTGCAATGAATTCGATGAAATTTCAAGTTAAAGATGAGCTAAATATAAAGAAGTATGAAGAAAATGAAGAAGTCGAAGAAGCAGAGCAAAACCAAGAAATCGTGAAGAAAATGTGAAGAAATGAGCATTTTCAGCATAATTTATATCTTGATGTCTATCCAGCAAATTGATCATATCTGGAGAACCGTAACTCATTTTGAGACGGGTCTTTGTGTAAAATAAATCTAAAAGGAATATCTAACTTCTATAAAAATCACGTGC